ACTTGCCTTACGATTTTCTTGACGACTGCGTCTCGAGAGTCCCTTTCTCGTTAATAATTCCCCAGAAAAAATAGAAATCCTATATTTACCAGAACTATATATACATTTACTCTAAATGTTAATACCAGAAAAATAGTGTATCACTTCGAGTTGGAAGAAAACGAATAATATTCACATTTATGAAACCCAATTTGAAATCGTCATCCCAAGTCTGACTCGAAGGCAAATGGTTAATTTCAATTCAAAGAAACAATCCCAAAGTGTACAAACAATTTTCAGACACTACCATTAATCGCATAATTAATACCAAAAACGTACTTTTAAATACCTTCTAGAAAGAATACTGTACTCTAATTCGAAACAAATCCAAACTCTACCCTAACGAAACTACACCACACCGTTCATGTACACTCAAAGCAAACTCATCTTCCACTAAGGAAAAGAGTGACAGAGGAAGAACGTCCTTCGAATTGATTTCGGGAAATTATTGAAATGTATGTCAAATTAATATTCAATTTACCATTTGATTCAATACTTGGAATAAATTTATCAATTTGTAGGAGGTCCTTCTCCTACGCCACTTTTTCTTCGGAAGTGTATGTCATTTGAAAAGTCCTTGAAGTGGAATGGATAGACCACTGTTATCGTTTCTAAAATGTTTCTAATTTTTAATATAATCCTCTAAACGTCAATGCACTTAGAGCAATGATATTCCAATTATTTTCCCTACCGGAAACCGAGTTTGCTCCTAAGAGTACCATTCCCAACGATGGAGGTTCTACGATCGCGAGAAACAACAACCAAGGCACCATTGTTCGGGGGTTTCACTCTTTATTCGAACGTTCGTTACATGAGCATCGGGGTCAGTCGTTTCGTGGTTCCGTAATAATACTCACAATCGTTAGCTCCGGGGAGAGTAAAAAAAACAACCTGTTTCCGGTGTGTGTATCCTCGGCTAAATCGTTCATCGAGCGTGTTTTCTGCCGGATACTAGATTCCGTCTGCGGAACACGAATACAATCAACAGAGAAACACTGACAGAGTACGAGATCACTCGGCGTGTGTGTGTGTATGTGTTCATGGAAAATGTGTACATGTGTGTGTGTGTGCGTGAAAAGAAACCCGACAAATGAGTTTCGAGATCGGTTATTATTAAGTATTTATCGTTGATTAAGAATAAAAAAAAAAAATACGAAGGGTGGGCCGAGGATTGGTATTTTAATAATGGCCCCAGAGTCGAAGAGGCTCCCCTAATATACACTTCGATCAGCCCGACGATCGAGTCAATCGTCCCGTTTCGTTGTTCGCGAGCTAGAACAGCCAGCCTCGTCGTCGATGTCAGCAATATCATTCGGATTCCCCCGTCGACGTTCCGCTGTTTTCGCATTATTCGCGGATACTCGGGAATTTCGTAAGATAGGAGGGGTGGAAGATAGGTACCGTGTATCGGGAATACCGTCTCGGTCGTCGTGAGGTCTCCGAATAATATCTACCGGACCTAAAGCTCTATCGCCCACGTAGCAGTTTGGCACACGAACCACAACGACCCAGATTATCGATGGATTAACAGTTATTTTATAAGTATAGTTCATAAGTATTGGGACACCTGGTCTGTGTGAATGAAAATGTGATTTTTTGTTAAAATTGTACAGGGTGTTCGAAGAGAAACGGATCTCATGCATACGCATCGAGTGGAGTGAAAAAGTGTCTAATCGATATGGGCTCTGCGATCAATCCTTTTGGTGGAACGTTAAGTTTTATACTTACGAGCGTTTGATATCGTAAGTGAGTCCATTGGGAATATATTAAATTAGAACAAATTGGTTTAGATGTACATTAATTCAAGGTTGTATGACAAGAGGTATTAAGGAAGATGTGAATTTTGTATTGAAATAGAAGGCAATATCACAGGAACATCTTGTAGCAAATGTGAGAACACAGTTTTGTATTGTCCTTTGAAAGTATTGTTCCGGAAGACCATATGTCGATTAGACAGTTTTTATTCCGTTCGATGAGTATAAGCAGTTAAAATTTTCGACACTTTTTTTTAATATCCTGTATATTTTATGTCACGTTTACTACTTTATGGTATCCATAAGTGTTATTCGTCGAGGTTTAATGTTGCCTAAACAATATTTATTTCAGACTTGCAGCGATTTTGTTTTGTAACATTTACTATGTCCTCTTACTTATGAACGGAAGTGTATGTCATTTGAAAAGTCCTTGAAGTGAAATGGATAGACCATTTTTATCGTTTTTAAAATATTTATAATTTTTAATATAATCCCCTAAACGTCAATGCACTTGGAGCAATGATATTCCAATTTTATAGATCAACGTTATGAACAAACTCTTGAGAAACTTGAATTTCAATTCGCTTTTGATGAACTGTTATGAGACTTTACAAACGCAAAAAATGTTTTTTCAAGCGGCTGTATACAAAATATTGTGTAGTATATTGTCATAATACGTTACAGTTATTCATATAAGAGATGAAAATATGAAATTTACTTGAAGTTAGCAAATGAAAATTTTTGATATACCAAAAATTTCAGAACTACCAATGTCATTTATACTTCGTTGCAAGAATTCTTCAAATGACCCACGTAATTTAATCTTCGTGCACCGTTCGAGTCAATTTGATTTTCTTTTCAGACTTTAACTTTTACGTATATTCTTTATCAAAGAAACTTGCATGATTGCAGATATTTATGCAAATATAGACTTTTTATGGATTAGTTTATAAAAATTGGAGTCCAATAAAAATTAGTCTGTCTTCCGAAAATAAAAATCTTGGTAAATTTTATCAAAAGTTTAGCTGTTTTTAGACCGTCATATAGGCGATAAATGCATAAAATCCGAAGTCTAATAATAACAATCAAACGACACTACGTTAATTACCCTTAATTTTATTTTAGCTCAGAGATCAAGTTTAATTTGAGTAATAGTAATGCAACAATTAATTGACCAATGCACGAGGATTAAATAAGAATTACTTCATGTATCCATAAAAGCATCGTTATTTCGAACATAGTTTCTTCAATAGCAAATTCTGAGACTTTCTGTTTCGGTTATCGTTTACGGAGTGTACGTGCTGATAAATTATGTCAGTGGTATGATACTGCTGATGTCGAAATGATGTCGATATGTTATATCTGTGGCAAATAGTATCGTCAAGTGGACGTTGTCGCTCGTGTGCCGTGCTGTTATTTAACAGCCTGTTTAAGCGACAATCTATAGAGATCTACTTCGTCATCCCTTTGTCAAGGTTGTAGTCAGAGTTTTGTAGATCAGCGAAACGATTCGAGGGACTCGCCGTGTCACGCTCGCGTGGTAACGAATACAAAGGCAGATGAAATTGTAAACAGAACACAAAAAAAATTATTGTATATGAAGCTACTGTGATGTTACTGTTGAATATAAAAAAATATATATATATATATATACATAAAAGATGCTGTATTAAAAAAAAACATCTTATCTCGAGAGTTTCTTTATTTACTCCTTCTAGGTGCGATGAAATCGGGAGAATAGAATTTAGAATTAGTCCGAAAGATAATTGCATTGAACTGGCGCATATGAAACGTTTTTCGGAGTAATAAATGACATTTAATTGGATGTTTCTCTGTCGGAACGAAAAAAACACCTTTAAGCAAAGAAGATTTTGATAATAATTTCAATTGAAAGATAATATTGTGCGATGCTGCGAAAATTAACTGATTGCAATGTAATTGTTTAATACGTCTAATGCGAGGTTGATACACGTATCAAGGAAAAGGTGCTTTTGAGTGACAAACTCGATACATACATTGAGTATACCTACTTTATGAATAAATTAATAATTTTAGCATTAAATAGTGAATTAAAATACATTTAAAGCAAAAACATTTGAAAGTAAAACTAAGCAAAGAAAATTGAAAAAATTTACGTCACAAAGGGTTGGAATTGCAATAAATCGTCCGTACTGAACGTGTTAAAAAAATTCGTGTACCTATTCAACTTATGTCTGAAGTAATTTCTTCAAATTGAAGAAGCTGTAAAATAACGTCAGAAAGGTTTTAGACTAATATTTACTATGAAATTAATAGATTACTAATTGTTTAGGAAGAAATAAGAAATTATATGACAACTATTATAATGGAAAAACTAAAAAAGAAACTAGCCAAAAAGAACATTTCATATGCATCGGTCCAACAGTACAGTACTTTCTTGGTATGTGCCTTATTTAAACGTCTAAAATATAAACCTACCACAGGAGACAACCTTGTTATAAGCTCGTAGCCAGTCCCAAGCTCATAACCTTCTAATACGAAATGTTTTTTTTTTATCTATCCGTTCGTGTTCTAATTGAAAATTCTAAAACTCTGGCTAACGCTACCATCGTCCGTCGCTATCAAAAATACACACTTTCAGAGAAAAATATCGATTTTATTTCGCAGGTTCATAGGTAACTCTTCGTTTATGGTAGAACAATCGTGGATCAGGTCGACGGATTAATTTTCTATTTGAATGGATCGAATACTTGATCGAACACAGCCGCTGACAACGCAACGTCGAATGAAAGTTCCAATCCCAAAACAAGAATCTAATTAATTTCTGCTTTTTCCATATCTGAATTAACCGCATTTCTTTCGAATAAATGACTAATGGCGGTATAGGTATATGTATGTGTGTATGTATGCACAGTTGTGCGAGTATCTGTGTACACACGACTTCTACGTTGTACCAATCGATTATTATCGTTAATTGTTCTCCTTCTCCCGCGAAAAAAAATTGTCGAATTTTATCATTTTCACGGAAAAATGTAAAAAATTAAAAGAAAAGAACAATACGAGGGACATCTGTACAAATCGTTTCGTCGAAGTCGTGGGTGTACTTATTTTTAATCCTAGATCGCGATCGTGTTATATGCGGAGAATAATGCGCGCGTTATAAAATCAGATTTATTTACAATTCTACAAGTTCGGTAATTCGTAGAGTTCCTGTACAAATCGTGCTTAATCGCAAATACGTATGCGTTTAGTTCCGTTTTAAAAAATTCCTAGCCACCATTATTAAAACGTCGCTGTCCGACACTAATCGTCAAAAAACCAAGCGTAAATACGGACACACGTTTTTTTTTCTCTTTTCGCGTAAAAGATCGCTAATCACGGTTTCTATCGATGCGTTGCGTAAACCGAGATACGCGTGCTTTTTATTCGTGATCCGTTGTGTTTCATTATAATCTCTCTTGTTTTTTTTTCGTCATTTTTTTCTTGTTTCTGTTCTTTTTTTTTGTTTACTCTTCGTAAGACCATTGCAATCGCATGCAAAGCCTGACACAGTCTTATTAAAACGCTAGACCCGTTACGGTCGAAAATATTATGTACAGAAGTCTTTTGTACACTCGCTAGAAAATCATGCGCAGTCACTTCCTGGGTTCCTGAAAATAATTTCAAGACAGATTAGCATCGTCTTATTGTCAAACTTTACAGTCACTTCACCATTTTGCCCTAACACTCCAGTCTTTCGGTGTCCAATGCAGACACTTAGGATCTATTCTGATCTGCCTCTTTTCCATTGCGGCCGCGTGTTGCTCGATAATCTCCCTGCGAATAAATACGTTCTGTCAGTGAAGGTGGTCAGGTAGGAAAATCCGTTGTTACTGAAAGAAGCTAATAATCTCCGCGGCAAAAAAAGTCTGCTCGACTGGTTTCCCTAACGATGCATTGACTTATGTAGCCAATTACCTATTCAACGTAACAATATATTGTCCTTTGTAGTAATTAATGAGATTCAAGTTCTGTAACGTCGATATCACGTCTTCTTTCTTTATCGACGTGAGCTCGCAAATTTCATTGATCGTGATCTGCGGTTTCTCATTCTCCACTAGAGGCTTTATGTTCAACAGAATGTCCAATATCGTGTGCGCCCAGTAACTTCGATATGATAGCAATCCTAGATCGGACAATGGCTTCTCGGGGGAACCTGTTTTGCCCTCGAATTTCGAGAGTTCGTACGAGAATTCTATCAACAGTTTCCCGTAACCCCTCCTTTGATAGGGTGGCAGTGTGAGTATACATGCGACATTGTGATCCTCCGTCGATTCCTTTTCCTTCGAAAAGTAACCGACTATGTGAAACCCTCTGCTGTCAAAATCTGTCATCACATAGAATAAAAACGGGTCCGTATCGTAGTAAAGGGTCTTGTGATCTAAGAACAATTTCGCCAATAGGCAAAGATTTTGTGCGTAATTCTTGTTTTTCCGGCCGTCAATCTCAAAAAACGATATCGATCCTTTCCTATAAATCTCGTTGCCAGGAGGATGTCGCAAATTGCACTTGATAAGGTGCCTCTCCAAACACTTTCGACTCTTTCTGTATTTTAGGCAGAATTCACAAATATATATACATGGCAGGTTCACCATTTCTTGTGGATACGGACTGAAATACCAGGGTCTTATTCTGTGACGACCTAATTCTATCAATTCGACATTTTTCATCCTAGTCACAATGTCATCGTGATGATGTGCGACCAGTGAACCGGTTGGCCTTGGACCAGGTGTCTGTGGAGGTCCATCCTGAGAATCTTCATTTTCTATGAACGTTAACTTTCTTTTCCTACACATTTTCTTTTGTAACGCCGCTTGTAATACCGCAGAACCATTGACCGGTTCATTGCTAAGACTGCTAGGGCTAGGAGGTCTACTGGGTGCTTGCTTTTTTGGGGTTGCTGCACCAGTACCTGGTGTGGTTCCATCTTTTCTGGGATATTGGACTTTCCTAGTGTCCAAACAATCTTCCGTAACCCATTCATCTAATCGTTTATTGACTAAAATGTACAGTTAATTAAATGATTGCTTATGTACATACTACTAACTCCTTGCATCTTAAGCATGTCTCTTTATACTTACAATCTACATAGTGAACATAATAACACTTGACACCGTGTACATCTTTAACACTGATGATTTCAGCTAGAGCTGTGGATGATAAAAGGAAACTGTTGATAAACCTTCATTATTAAATCTAGATCTGTACAACATAAACATTCACCGACCCTGGAGTCACACCAGAAGATAGTATGCATGCATACTATCTGCATCCAAAGTGCCTAAATATAACCTAAAACTAAGCTACTCATTCTACATGGATAATGAATGGAAACAATAGTGAAACAATAACATTTCTGACACCTGCCATGCAATCATGATTAATACTACATGAACGAAAGTTCTGTGTATCCATAAAACGGTCCATTAATGTAATTCACTGACACACTTATCAAGAGATTCTTCTGATAAAAAATAAGGGTATACAATACCGTGTACAAATGTGACTTTTGCGAAAGGAACTGTCAACTGGATATAAAATAGTTATAAAAGTAAGCGCATACTTACGCCAATCATCCGTACCATGCATTCTGACCGGTAAACGACAGCCTTCCACCAACGAATTCTGAAAGTGAGGTTAGAATTTCATAACAACCGCATTGTTGCACTCGCGCACCTCCTTCATGAAAAGTATCAGCGCTTCTCATGTTCAGCATGTTGCACCACTTACCACTGAGTCGCATATTGTTTCACCTTCGTCGTGTTCCTCGATCATATCAATCACAAATCAAGTTACTGGCCACCAAGCACAATCTTGTTTTGAAGCTCTCACGGCACTGACGCGAGCGCCCCACCACTCTCGTTGCAAGTACATGGAACTAAATTCAAACAACTTCCCGCTAGTCGAAACAAGAGAATCGATAGATGAGTCTCGAGATGTTAAGCACTATGTATGTACAAATTACCAGAGAGGGAATAAGAATGCTCACGCCCAGGATTCGTTGTACCCGTGTAAGTGCTACACCAAACGGCCAATTATGGAATAATAGTAGGAATCTACCCGTTTTGGTTTCACGCTACATAACATTTAACCGAAAAATAGTTGGCGCTGAATTGTAGTGTTTCTTAACGATTTTTATCTTACAAAATTGCTCCCCATTTGCGCCCTCGGAATCTAAAGTTACTCCCATCGCAATGTTTATATTTAATAAGATATTGCGATTTTTCTGGAATTCTGGCCCTCGACAGCCCCGAAGGCTACCATAAACGAGCGCCTACTGTATAACGGAATACTTAACCTCTATGCAACAACATTATTTCAATTGATCCGTGTTAATAAGTCGTTATTGAGATATCTGACTATTGATTATTATAAAAAAGATCAGGACCAATTTTTTGGTACCATAATATTTGTCTAAAAAGGCCATTTACTACCTACTTTGCAAACAACAAATTGTAATTTGCGAATATCTCATTAAATAGAAACGCGATGGGAGCAATTTTATATTCCGAGTGAGCAAATTGGCAGCAACTCTTTAATTCGAAGTGAAATCTTTTTTATTTTATTACTAATAATTCTATGATATATGTATATTGCATATATTTGTAGTATCCTGAAAACGGGTATTAACGAGCCATTCCACGTCGAAACGCACAGAACTGCGATCTTAATGACCGATTTTTTTCGAATTTGCAGCATTTGTTGATAAACGCAAGAAACTAAATTGTGTAAAATTTTAGTTTCTAATCTTGAACCGTTTCCGAGAATTTCCCTTGCGGAAGACTTACCGTAATGAGCCATCTCGTGGCCGCGGGATTCCGGGAATCGGGTGACGTCACGGCGTGCGAGCGAGAGCGGTAGAGAGAGCTGCGGTATCGGTGCTCTCCGTCGGTGTTGACGCGTGCCAAAGAATTTCGGCGGTCTATGGGAGGAGGTGTGCGAGCGAGAGAGTACGGTAGAGCGTGCCGCGGTATCGGTGCTCTCCGTCGGTCCAACGCGCCAGTGACGTCGCGTACCTGGCCGTACCATCTGGTGTTTGGGTCGTTCAAGGAGGAAGGTCGTTCAAGCCGGCAAAAACAATTCAACACGAACAAACCTGCGTACGCTCAATACATAACGGCGTTAGCTTCCTCACTTTCTCGTGAGCCGTCGCGGAGGGTAGGCGCGCGTCTCGTACTCGTCCTTTCTCTTGTTACTAACCCATTGTTTGTTGCAGACATTCGACAAAAATCAATTTATTTATTGTGCATATTATTAATTTATTTACTGTGCATATTGCTGTGTCCCCTCTCTTGTTACTAATCCCTTGTATGTTCCAGATGTTCGAGAACCATTGGCTTCGATATTTATCTTCTTATGTACTGTGATTCATTTACTGTGATTTATTTACTGTGCATATTAT